ACCTATTATTGTAAGCTGATCCTGTTTAATTTTCAAGTAAATAACTCAGTTCACTTTATTCCTATTGTATCTCCTTTTATTGTAACTGATATCACACAGTTGAGTTACTTAGTCATTTTAATTTTGAAGGTTATAATCATGCTAGGCTTTCAAATTCAAATTCCAAGTTTATTTTCTATAATGATTACAATGTTGAATTTACAGAATTTGGTTGTTGTGTGGTTTACATGTAGTTAAATAATGATTACAGAGTGTACCACTAGAACGCCTAGCATGGCTAGGCATTTCGGGCAGACTTAGTTTAATTCTTTATTTTAAAATATTACAAATTATGAGGTAAGTTGGTATTATGGCTAAGTGACTAAATACTAGTTTTTGAGTTTAGCAATGTGAATGCTTTTGTTTTGGCACAGTACATAGTTTCAGTATTGGAGTATCATAGATTCATTATTTTAAGATTGAGATTAATATTTCTGTTTATGGTCAAATGGTGAGTGAGTGTAAGTGTGAACCACCGGGTGGATTCTTTGTAGTTAGTTGATGGGTTTATCAGGGAGATAAGATGTTTTCTAATGGTAGTTTTGAAGGTGATGATGTGTCTGCAGTTCTAGAGTTCTCAGGTGGGTTTGTTCCAGATATTAGGGCCTTTGACATACATTGAATTTTTAAAGGTTTAGTCGGACATGGGAATGTCGTAGAGATGTTTGTGTCTGGTGTTATGCCTGTGGTTCTGTCACAACTATCAAGAAAGCGTTTTAGGTCAAGTTGATATTGAGTTTAAGGTCCTGTAGATGTAGATTGGGACAGTAGTAAGTGTGGATGTACTGAACAGGGGGTAAGTTTAGATCTATGAAAGTGGGGGGGGGTGTTGCCAGGGATGGGATTTAGTGATTATTCTTACTGCAGCTTTTTGTTGGGTTATTATTGGCTTTAGGTGTGTTGCTGCAGTTGATCCCCAAGCACAAATAGCATAGGTGAGGTATGGATAAATAAGTGAGTGGTATAGTGTGAGAAGGGCATTTTGCGGTACGTAGTATCGTATCTTGGAGAGGATCCCAACTGTTTTGGATACTTTTTTGGTTATGTGTTGGATATGGGTGATGAAATTCAGGTTGTCAAGGTATAGGCCTAGGAATTTGCCCTCATTATGTCGGGTAATTAGTGTAGTTGATCTTAATGTTAATTTGTGCATCTCCTGCTCTGCTACCAAACATAATATAGTAGGTTTTGTCAGTGTTAAGAGTAAGTTTATTGGCTGTCATCCAAGTCGATATTTTGATCAGCTCCTCGTTAACAATGGTGTTGAGGGTGGCAAGATTAGGGTGAGAGATGACATAAGTCGTGTCGTCAGCAAAGAGAATGGGTTTCAGGTGTTGGGATACGTTTGGAAGATCATTGATGTATATGAGGAAGAGCAGGGGACCAAGGACACTTCCCTGCGGAACTCCAGTATCAAGTGGCCGTGTTGTTGATGCTGTGTCTTTAATGGTAACATACTGATACCTATTAGAAAGGGGTAAGACTTGAAATAACCCAAGCGCATGCCTCTTATACCGTAATGGTCAAGTTTGTGGAGTAGGAGTCGTGGTCTACTGTGTCAAAAGCTTTTCTTAGGTCAATAAAAATTCCTAGTGGATATTCCTTATTTTCCAATGCTGTGTAAAGCAGATCTAGCATTTTCATGTTTTGCATTATTAGTGCTTTTATTTTTCCTAAATCCAAATTGGCAGGGTTGGTATGTTTTGTGCTGTTATAAATAAAATATAGTCTCCTGTGCACGAGTTTCTCAAAGATTTTGGATAGCAATGGTAGTTTGATATTGGCCTATATTGTTTAAGTCTGTAGAGTCACCACCTTTATGTATTGGTGTAACCCTTGCCATCTTGAGTAGTTTCGGGAAGGTGCTAGTTTCTAGTGACTTGTTAAAAGTAACGAAATAGCATGCGAAAGATATGGGCCGCTCGCTTGTACAGTAATGGGGGGACATTAGACAGATTCCCTGAGTTGTTTTTAAGTGACTTTATAATCTCGGTGACTTCCGAGGGCTCATTGGTGCAAGATAAAAGGGAAATTTTGGAAATTCCCATCCAGGTAGTCCCCGGCATGGGCATTAGTATGTGGGATTTTTTTGGGCGAGATTAGATCCTAGGGTTGAGAAGAAGTCGTTTATCTTGTTAGCTGTGTCAGTGGGATGTGTGGTGTTTCATTAGGTTTAGTTAGGACAATATTCTTGCTTTTTTTCATTGTGGTCCCTAGAATCTGAGAGAGTGTTTTCCAGGTTTTTTTTTATATCTCCTCTAGTGTCTGTGAATCTACTGGAGTTGTTTGGCTTTCTTTATTACTTTGGTGAGAACTGATGAATAGTGTTTAAGAATATCTTTGTGTATTAAGCCCTGTCTATATTGCTTTTCATATTGGTGTTTTCTTGTCAATGGATTTCAGAATGGTGCTGGTTAGCCATGGGCAACCAAGCCGTTTGTTTGTGATCTGTTTCGTTTTTATAGGACAATGTTTGTTGTATAGTCTAAGTAATTTGTTAATAAAAATGTCTGTCCAGTCATAAATTTACCATGGCCTTGGAGAATTCTGTGGGGCCAGTCAACAATCTCTGGGTCATTTTGTGAACTTCCTTATTGAGGCCTCGTCATGGAGTCTAAATGAGACTTTGTTGTATTCAAGTGGTGGTTATTAATGTTTGTCAGAGGAAGGTAGGGTAGTGGTCTGTAGTGCTATCTGTGATTATCCCTGATTTAAGGGGGGCTAGTATATTTGGGCCATATGTGGTCTATTATGGTTGCACTTGTCTCAGTGAGCCTGGTTGGTTTAGTTTAAATTTTTGGTATGAGAAGTGTGTTGTTCATATTTTTGATGAAATCAGTTACAGGCGATCATCTAGTAAGGGCCCAAAGGGTTTATGTTGAAGTCTCCAGCTAAGAGAAGGTGGTGCTTATTCATTTGTCTGTTTGTTATTAGTGACTTTAATTTCTCACTGAAATTTGGGATTTTGTGTGAGGTATCCGGTAAATGGCACCGATTGTTATAGGTGTCTTAAGGTTTTTTACAGTAAAATTAGCAAAAATTATTCCCCATATTCATCACTAAAGCAAGTGGGGGCTAATACAAGATAATTGGTTAGTGTAATAGATTGCAATACCACCCCCAACTTGGGCTGGTCCCGCAGTTGTGAATTGCTGTGTATCCTGGTAGAGGTAGATATCTATTGTGTCCTGCTAAGCCAGGTCCTCAGTAAGAATAATGCAGGAGAAGGGTGTCTTTAGTGATTCAAGGAGTGCCAGGAGGTCATCATAGTGTTTGCTTAAGGACCTGATGTTGTAGTTAAGTACTGATAGGCTTTTAGCATTGTTTAGAATAGTGCTGGCTTGTGATGCTGTGTAATAAAGGCAGTTACTTTCCAACAGGGTTTTTTTTGGGTGTCAGATTATGGAGGTTTAGATCAGGGTCAACGTGATCAATCATCTTCTAGGTTTAAATTATGGTTATTTATATCCTGAGTTATGTGTTGTGCTGGAATGAACTAAAGTACAACTAGGTATAAACTAGTAATATAAAAATACAAATTTAAAATAGAACAAGACTCTCACTTGTAATTGCACTAAGGTCTAATATAATGACTTTTGTGGAGTCTATGTTTTGAGCTAGAATGAGCTATAGTACAACTAGATTTAATCTAATAATATAAAAATACAAATTAAAAATAGCACCAGTCTCTCACTAGTAATTGCAATATGGTCTAATATAATGAATTTGTTGAAAGATAATGAATTTGGTATTGACTATAGAACAACTGAGTTTAATCTAATAATATAAAAAAGGCACAAGACTCTCAATTGTAATTGCACTAAGGTGTTATATAAGTTGTTTACAAGAATTAGAGTATAACTAGATTTAAATTGACAAGATAAAATATACAAGTTAAGGTAGCAAAAGAATAAAAAAAAGTAGAAAAAAAAAAAGATATATGAGGTAGTTGGTACTAGTTAGCAAAAGATAAAGTTAAGGGCCTTGAACAATAATATTAAGATATTACAAGGACCCCAATGGAAATAAAGTCATTGAGTTGTTTGGGTTATCCTAGGAAATTTACACACATGTTAAACTATCCATCATATTGTACTTATGTATACCTATACCTAAATAAACTTACATGACTTCATATCAAGAAGTATAAATAATAGGTATCTTCCGGTTATGTTTCAAGTTTATATATCATTTAGAGTATGTTGCACAATTTTTGCCACCTTATTATAGCATGGATATAAATGTGATGAAAAACATACAGAGAAGGATGACAAAGTTGAACCCATGTGTCAGAAATCTTTCCTTCAAGAATAGACTGAAGGCACTCAATCTGCACTCTGGAAAGGCACAGAATTGGGGGGATATGACTAAGGTGTATAACTGGAAAACAGGAATAAATAAAGGGCAATAAATAACATGCTAAAAATATATAACCAAGACAAAGCACACACCAATAATATTTATTCAGATTTTTAACCTGGAGGGTTAGTCACCCTGGATAACCCAAGGAAGTCAGTGTGTCATTGAGGACTGTCTTATTTCCACTGGGGTCCTTATCTGATCTCCCCAGGATGTGACCCACACCAGTCAACTAACACCCAGGTACACACTTACTGCTAAGTGAACAGGGACAGCAGGTGTGAGGAACATATCTAACATTTACCACCCATGTTGGGGGCTGAACCGCAGACACTTGGTGTGCGGTTATAATGAGTTGTGGATGAGTGGAAAAAATTCTGTATCGTCATTGAAGTGAAAACCTTGAGTAATTTTAAAAATAAATTAGACAAGTATGTACATTGTATATGAATGGGTGTGGACGGATGAGCGTTGGACCTGCCTAGCATGGACCAGCAGGCCTGCCACAGTGCTCCTTTTTAATGTTTGTATGCAAATGGTCTTAAAATCTGTACCCCCTGCAATAACAAAACTTTGTTAGATACAAAAAGCAGGCCACTTACCAAAATTTGCTGACCGACGAGGAACCTGCTGCCTTATGTTACGATTAATAACATTTTGCCAAGGTGATGAAATAAGTAAACTTTCACATTCTGTATTGTCACATCTCAGTACTGCCTGGTCCAGAGAAAACTGAAAGGGACGCACACATCCCTCCCTGCAGTGTGAACAAGGATGGCCAAAGTTCTGAAAAAATGAATAAAAAGGTTATTTCTAATTATTTATATTATTATTATTAACACACTGGCCGATTCCCACCAAGGCAGGGTGGCCCGAAAAGGAAAAACTTTCACCATCATTCACTCCATCACTGTCTTGCCAGAAGGGTGCTATACACTACAGTTTTTAAACTGCAACATTAACACCCCTCCTTCAGAGGGGCACTGTACTTCCCATCTCCAGGACTCAAGTCCGGCCTGCCGGTTTCCCTGAATCCCTTCATAAATGTTACTTTGCTCACACTCCAACAGCACGTCAAGTATTAAAAACCATTTGTCTCCATTCACTCCTATCAAACACGCTCACGCATGCCTGCTAGAAGTCCAAGCCCCTCGCACACAAAGCCTCCTTTACCCCCTCCCTCCAACCTTTCCTAGGCCGACCCCTAATACTTCATTAATTTTTAATACTCTTGTAATTTCACTTGTAAACGGTATGGAGCCACCAACAAATTGAAAAAAAACTCTTGTACAGTTCTGGACAATTAAGGAACAATGATCTTTTACACTTTACTTTCAAAATGATGTCATAACAAAGAGAGGATAGAGGGTGGTCACAGGTTTCTTTCTCAGAGCATTCAGAATCTCAAGTCCTCAGTTCTTTTAGAGGAATGCGTGTATATCACTCGTGCTTTCACATCACTTCAATTATCCCCTACACTTTACACAAGTTTGCAGGAAGCATGCCACGAACAGATGTTAACAGAAAAAATGCCAACACGACTGCCAAGGAAGCCATCAGATATGTTGCTCTGCCAATCAGTAACGTCATCAAATGTGGCTAAAATGTTAAAAAAAATAATACTTATCTTCATTTCTGCATGTACAATGTATACAGGCCTAGCTGATATGAATGACATACTACTATATAGAAAGCCCCATGTTATGCAGAGCATTTCAAGCAAATTAGGTCAATTTTGTCCCAGGATGCGATCCACACCAGTCAACACCCAGGCGTCTATTTTACTGATAGGTGAACATGGATTTATTATAATCATGGGGGAGCGCTAAACCCATAGGGATTATACAGAACCTGTGGGAGGCAGGGATGGAAGGTATTCAGGCTCAATTCAGAGAACTGGAGCACAGATCCAATTCTCTGGATTAAGAGCCCATCACCAGAATCAAGGAACCTTCCTTAAGGGGAGGTGAACATGGAGAGCAAGCATCTTAAGGAAACACATCATAATGTTTCCACCAGTACCGGGGATCAAACCACGGACCTCAGTGTGTGAGATGAATCCCCCAACAATCAACCCATCAAAATAGTCACCAAACTCTTCGTTTTCAAAGACTTTGTGCAGAAACACAAAAGCCTTCAACCAGCGTCAGAGTATATATTATACCATGTGAAAGATGTGACAAGAAGTATGTGGGAGAAACTGCTCGGTTACTTAAGCATTTTGTAACATGAACACAAAAACTCCTGTAGACGTATGACCAAAACACCAGTGTACAACAGGGATAAATGTAGGCACGGTGAACTCTAATGAGGCACGACTAGTCATCCGCAAAAACGACCGACTGAAGCGGAAGCTGTTTTATCATAAACGAAACAATTTAGCGAAGGTCTGGGAGCTTCAGTGTTTCAAACTTTTCAGCTTCAAAATTATTACTCGTTAGCAAACCTACAATAAGCCAGAAGCCCGTGTGTTATATTGACAAATTATACAGTAAAGATTCTCACCATGTTAATGGAGATGGGTGCAGCAGGTCACATAACCCATGAACCCTCAATGATAGAAACTAAAGAACGTTTTGCCGCCCTCAAGTCGTGGCCATCTTGAGGCAGCAGCGCTGCGGCGCCGCTGTCTCCCGAACCCTGCACATGACTTACAACAATGCCACCATATTTATTTTCCGAGAAGATTAAGAAAATAAGTTTATTTAAGCACAGATACACATAAGTACAATCATCATACATAATGTAAATTAACTAGAATAATCCAAAAAAGTCCCAGTGATTTATTTCCATTGCGGCTTATGTATAACAGAGATTAACTAACATAGGTTGTGTCATACACTGAAAAACCCATACTTATGTAATGCATTTCGGGTATATTTAAGATGTCTTATCTTATCTTATCTTACACACCTTAAAATTACTTGACATAATAGTTAGTTAGATCAGTTAAATGGCACGTTCACACACTACAACATGATTAATGCTCTCATGCATTTTTTTCCGTAATTGAACTCAATTTGCTTTTATAAACATACAAGAAGCCACATCGTACAAACAAATCAATTGAACTAAGTCAGGAGAGAGAATCGGGAGACGGGTGCAGCTGACGGCTTGTTTACGTCTGATGGTGTTGACTGAGCCTCATAGGCTGACTCAGCTTCACCATATCTGTTGCATTTTGGTTCTATTACTACTGCGTTTCCTTCAGTCCAGCTAATCAGCGATACATTAACCCCTGGAGAAGTTGTTGCTGCTGACTTACTGACAACATTTTGCTGAGGCTGCTGAACATCACTATCTAGCACGTTGTGTATAATTGTGAGGCCAGCCGGTCACCATCCCAGGTATGGTGCAGGTGAGGCTGTGCCCAGGGATTCTCCTCCATCTTTACCTCATTGTGAACTTTTGCGTGTAAACACTTGTTCCACTGATTTTTTTTATATCTAACTTGAAGTATTTTATTACTGACCACCGGGAGATAGGGTCAAAACGGCTTAGGCTGTGGTGGACCTTAATCCAAAGAAGAGGAAAGTGATTTGAAGTTATTTCACTAGCAACTTCCTGAGGTTTGTAACTAATAACATACCGAGGTCATCACTGACACCAACGCTATTACTCTGCCCTTTATTTTCCACGTACAAACATGTCGGAACGTAAAGTGCTCAATAAATATTATCCTCCAGACTTTGATCCTTCTAAGATCCCCCGGGCGAGGTGCCCGAGGAACCGTCAGTTTACTGTGAGGTTAATGGTGCCCTGTAATATCAAATGCTATACTTGTGGTGAGTATATAGCCAAAGGCAAGAAATTCAACGCCAGGAAAGAAGATGTGGAGAATATGACGTACTTGGGTGTTAGAATTTACCGGTTTTATATTAAGTGCCCAGGGTGCCTTGCAGAGATATCCTTTAGAACTGACCCTGAGAGCACAGATTATGTTATCGAGGCTGGTGCTCATCGTAATTTCCAGGCCTTAAAATTAGCAGAAGAACAGGCAGCAAGAGAAGAGCGTGAAGCAAAAGAGGAAATAGAATCAAACCCAATGTTACTTTTAGAAAACCGAACTCAGCAGTCCCAGTATGAGATGGAGGTGTTAGAATCACTTGAAGATCTACGTGAAATGAATGATAGACATGCAGGTATCGATCTAGGTAAGATTGCAGAGAAGTTTGAAAGTGAAAGGAGGATGACTCGAGAACAAATTGGTGAAGCAGAGAGACTAGCAGCACTGAGAGCTCTTGGGTATGAAATGGTAGAAGGATTAATTGTCAAGAGAATTGCACCTGAGGAAGTGGACAGTGAAACACCACTTAAAAAAATAAAAAAATGTGAAGATTCAAAAGCTTCGAACATTTCTACTAATTCTAATACAGTTGGAAATAAAACAAAGAAAAATAACATAAAATCCAGATTATCAGGAATTATTAAAACAAAAGTTCCACAAGAGGCCAAGGCAAGTACTGCCAGTTCACAAGATAAGTTGAAACATGATTCATCTCAAGTATCAACATCAGAAAAATCAGCAGAAGAAAAGATTGGACTACTTAATAAGCCTGAGAAACTATCACTAGCAGAAAAATGCACTAGTGCAGTTTTGTCAGGTGGAGCCTCAGTAGGTATTCCAATGGTTAAGTCAGGCTCTACAGGGCTCAGTGGCCTTTCTTTTCTTGGAGTGTACTCTGATTCTGAAAGTGATGAGAGTGAGACATAACTCACAGTAAATATGTCCATGTTTGTATTTATGTTGTAGACTACAGAATACCCTTTGTTTAACAGACTTTGGAAATTCGTGACAAAATAGGTTGGATCAGTTGATTCAGAAACAGCAGACAAATTCTGTTAGTTACAGAATTGTCATGGCTAAACAGTCTTGTTTCTCAGTCACAGTCATTATTACCAGTCACTCACTCTTCTCTGTTAGTCTTAAATTGAGGATTTTCTGTATTAGAATATCATTCACCCATTTGCACTACAATTACGGTACTGAGAAATGTTTGAGAAAAGTGTTGAATTACTCCTACAGGTATATATCTTTACATGACTGTAATTTACTGTTTTAATAATTCTTTATCTGTATGACCCTTGTGGATTTAGCACATAGTTTTGAGTGAAATAATAATTCTTAGTGAAAACTCAAATATTTAATACCTGTATATTAAAAATGGATTTTTATTTTGATCAGGTTAATACATACACAATACTGTACTATGTATAAAAATGTAAGAGAAATCAGGCACCCAGACTTAATCTGTATAGATTTTTTTTATTTTTCATTATCCACTTTCATTAGGCAGTCAGATGTTTTTATTTACATTTTGTTAACATCTAATTCAGAATTCTTGGTTTTCTCATTTTTTTTTTCAAATTTGAAGAGTATCTTTCATTACAATAGAGTTCCAGATAATATTCTTTTATATAAATGTGTTAATTGCTTTAATATTGTGTAATTTATATTTATTATGCATAATGTTCAATTTCTGTATACTACGGGAAAAAACTTTGAAGGCCCTCTCTGACAATGACAGTCATACAATTGATATACTACTGCACAATACTTAACATAATTTTTGTAGAGTATTATATAAACATTTTTTTTTTGTAGTGTACATGTTTGCTTGGAAGTATAATTTTCTATTCCTTGTGTTTTAATAAGCTTAAAAACCAATTTATTTTTATTTTTTCCTCTTTATGCCAATTGTATGATGTCCAAGAAGAAACATTTGATGTCAAATTATTATCATTTTATATAGCAGGTACAGAAGGTCCTTGAGAAATGCTAATAGAGTACATACTGTACTCTTCTCATGTACTATTATCAGCAAAATGTTTGTAATGAAATTCTGCAATATATTTGGCCAAGTACAATTTCTCAATTATTTTATGGTAGCACGCATGTGCTTAGGTGTGAGATATGAACGATAGGGACCCCAGAGGGGTTTTATTAGGCTGAATTAAATAATCACCTAACACCATTATATGCTTAAAATACAATCACTGTGAAAATAAAAATGTGAAATGCAGTGTAAAAAACTGAATTTTTTTAAATCCTAATATCAGCATCATATAAAATTGTAAGAAATTTGTTTCACATTCATGGAAGGTAACCTTTTTTTTATCTTTTTAAAAAAAAATTTTATTAATCAAAATTTTCTTCTGTTAAATCTTCATTATTAATATACTTATTGCATTCCTGCCTTTCACTGGGGGTATTATACACATTCTGCCATATCTCCTGTTGTGACTTGACAGTTGTCCAGTATGGAGTAACTTTAGTGTGCAAATTTGGAAACTGACCCTACAACATCTTCCATTTGTAAATTATGATATACTTCATCTTTTTTTTTTTACACTCCTGGTTAGCAGTTTGAGAAATTTTAATATTCCCAATATTTTAGGTGTTTGAACTTATGAGAAATGAAATTCCTCTGTACATTCACCATATCTGGAAAATGGAGCTGCCAGTTTACAGCAGTATTCTAGTCAGTAGAGTACAAATCAGCAGCTCGTCATATACAGTAGTCCCCCCTGTATCCATGGGGGAAATGTTCCAAGACCTACTGTGGATACTCAAAACTACAAATAGTAGTGAACCCTGTACAGTGGAACCTTGACTAACGAGTTTAATCCGTTCTGTGCCCTACCTTGTAACTCGATTTACTCATATATCAAATCAATTTTCCTCATTTAAATTAATTGAAAAGCCATTAATCCGTTCCTGCACTCTGGAGACAGGACAAAATACTTGAATATGACGCTAATATCAACTGTACAGCTTGTTTATCTATCACATTTCATCTAATATGACATAATAAACAATATAATTAACCCTTTGACTGTCGCAAGCCCCAATTCTGAAGTGTCTCCTGGTGTCGAGAAATATTTGAAAAAAAAAAATATTTTTTCTTATGAAAATGTTAAGATTATTTTTCTGATTCTTTTAAAGCAAAACAAAATTTTTTGCCATGAGTACTTACCGAGATATAGAGGTGTGAATTTGGTAGAAAATGAGCCGTGTATGGCAACAGCGGCAACTGCCGCTCACCCAGTAAACTTTGGTTTACTTGTATTCGAAGGTTTCTTGTTTTTTTTCACTGTTTTATTTTTTTTCACATAACTTCTGTGGTCTGTGAGTCCAAAGTAAGGTGCAATGTACATATATACACTCGTATTCAACACAATAGGGGCACAAACATAATTATCAATATATTGTTTACAAAACTTGTTTGCACAAACAATAAGAGGCTCTTGTTCTGAGGAATTAGACCTGTCGGTCTCCTTCCTCAGACCGAACCTAATTACCCCCCAATCCCCCGTTCCCTATCCCATCCTCCCCTTTTTCCTTTCCTCCTCCTCCTCCTCCCCACCTCTCCCTTTTGCCCTTCCTTTTTGGCCTTTGGGATTTTTTTTTTTTTTTCCACAGGCACGCTAGTTCCTAGGTAGGGGAAAGGGTACCGGGATCCATCCCATTCCGTTGAGGTTCTTGGCGGTGGCGTAGTTTGCCGTGGAATCTGGATTGCCTGGGGATGTCCCGATCCCTCTCCGGTATCCCGGAGGGTGGCTTTGGGTGTCTCTCGGGCGACGGGTGTATCTCTGGAAGCCACCTTTCGGATTCCGGGGGTGGTGGCCAAAGGAGGTATGCTTTGTGGTGGATTTCCGGCCGCCCTCTCTTTTGTCCACCGAGGTAGCTCGGCAGATGTGAGGTTGCTATCCCGGATTGCTGGTTTACTGGTACGATGGGTAGGGTATGGCACGGGTTCCATGCTGCATCTGCGCTACTTGGGGTGCTGAGGTCCTCTTGGGCGCGGAGGGAAATTTCTGGCCCTTTCATTCCTCCTAGGAACTATCCCTCCCTGGTCCCCCTTTCTTTATTCTTTTTTTTATTTTTATTTTCTTTTCTTCTTTCTTTTTTTTTTCTTAAAAACAAAAAGAAAGAAGTAACCTAACCATGGCAGCCCTAGTCCATGAACCTGCTACCCCCGGGCCCCTTCTTGATACTGCACCACGTTCTGAGCCCGCCTCGTCTTTGGACCACTCTTCGGACACTCCTCATGCCTCTGTACCTCTTGCCGGTGCTGTTTCCTCGCCCGCTTCAGGTACTGAGGCCTCGACTGACTCCTTCGATTTATCTGACCTTCGCTCTCCTCTGACTATGCTTCCGGCCTCTCCCTCTACGGTGCGGCAATTTTCAAATTGCCAGCCCGTTCCACGTCGGACCAACTCTGGTCCCACGCCTAAACGCCAACGACAATTACCTGCTGATGATACTTCTCCACCTTCTGTTTTTCTCTCAGAAAAGATCGACACGTCCTTCACTACCTTTCCACGCTCATGTTTCAGACTGCACAATGGGACTAAATTCTTCACTTTACGACCGACTTCCTCTACTGCCTATTTTTCTGACCACAGTATTGGCAAGGCACTCCTACGCCATTTTGGGTTTAAAGATATTTCTTTTCATGCTCTTAAGAGCGGTACGCGCATCATCACCGTACAGAATGCTACCCAGGCTCATGAGCTTTCTCGTCTTTCCCATATCGATACTGTTCCTGTCACTATTGAAAAACATCATTCCCTCAATTCTTGTAGTGGTACCGTCATTCTGCCCCATACCATAGTTCAACAAAATTTCCAGACATGTGGCACTGACATTCTTGAACAGCTGGAACTCCAAGATCTCCCAATCCTCAAGGTAGACACTTATGTTCTTCCTGCCCGCGGGCGGAGACGATACCCTAGCAATGTGGTTCGTTTAACTTTTGACAGCCGTGAACTCCCATCCTCAGTTTATGTAGCAGGACATCGGTTACAAGTTCGAAAGGTGATCCCTACACCGCAGCAGTGTAGAAATTGCTGGCGATTTGGCCATCCAGCGAAATATTGCAGATCTATCGCCGAATGCCCGGTCTGTGGTGCCGATGACCATTCTAATATGTCTTGCAATCGACCTCCCTCTTGCCTTAATTGTCATGAGGCTCACCCTTCGTACTCTCGCCGTTGTCAAGTCTACTTAAACAAGCGGGAAATCCGTTGCCTCAAAGAGGCAGAAGGTCTCCCTTATGCCATGGCAGTTTCTCATCTCCGCCTCCAAGGGAGACTACCTCGTGTTTCTTATTCCCGTGTTTCAAAACATCCCCCCACTTCTGGGATCCCATCTTCTGCAACCACCTCTGTGGTTACCTCTCCCATAGTCACTCCTGTATCTAATTCTTTTGCTGTCCTAGGCTCAGACGTCCCTACTTCAACGCCTCAGTCTGATCTCGCTTCTTCGTGTTCTCCCTCACAAGCCTCAGTAGCGACGAGATCTCGTATGACACCTCCTCCTAATCGTCCCTCTACTTCTCAAAAGTCAAAAAAAGGTCCATTCACACCTCCTACCCATCTTCCACCTCCTCATTTTACCTTCCCTGTCTCTGTACCTGGTTCTTACCCTCTCACTGGCTCTGTTACAAGTGTAGAGGTTCACCCTCCTCCTCATACTGTACCTTCCTCCCCTGTTCCCTCCCAAGTTTCTTGCTCTTCTGCCACCTCCCAGGTTTCTGCCTCTTCTGTCCCCTTCCATGCTTCTCCAGTTCCCTCCACCCTTTCGCCCCTCCCCCCACCTTGGTACAGTCCATTACAGTTCCAATCTTTACTCATCCTCCCCCTACCATTTCCAATATTGTCTCCCATACGATGTCTCTGAATTCCGAAACACTTGAAGCAATCTCTGAATATATTGCAGAGACCAAACCATTAATGGACACTGATCCACCCTCCGTTCCTTCTCTCTCCTCTGCTCCATCTGCGCAACTCCTTTCTTCACAGCGCACCATTCCTTCGCTGCTTGAACGTTTTCCACTGCCTCCGCATGTGGACTTTTCTAACCCCTCTAGTCCGTAGGAACCCTTACCTGCAGATTTCAGGTATCTTTATCATTGCCAATCATGGCCTATTTACAGTGGAATATACGAGGCCTCGGGTAATTGAGGTGAGCTTCAGATGTTACTCTCCCAGTTTTCCCCTGTTGGTGTTTGCTTACAGGAACCAAAACTACACTCTGCTGTTATCTCTCCCATCTCAGGCTATAATTTATTGTATTCTTCAGATCCTTTTCCTGATGAGACCTTTAATGAAAGTGCCCTTCTTCTATGCACTGATATTCCGTACCAAGAGCTGTTTGTTCGTACTTCGCTGCATTACACAGCAGCCCGTATCCACTTGAATAGGTGGTACACGCTCTGTTCTTTATATCTCTCTCCTTCTCAGGCATTTTCTATTCCGGATATTGCCTTTCTTGTTTCGTCATTACCGCCACCGATTCTGTTACTTGGCGATTTTAATGCCCACCATTTTCTCTGGGGGGGTCTCACTGTGATTCCCGTGGCATTCAGTTAGAGGCTTTTCTTGCCACCCACCCCCTCCATGTTTTAAATACAGGTACTCACACCCATTTTGATCCTCGGACTCACACTCTCTCTTGCATCGATCTCTCAGTCTGCTCTTCCTCCGCCGCATTAGACTTCACTTGGTCTCTTCTCCCAGACTTACATGACAGCGATCATTTCCCAATCATTCTTACTTCCCCTTCATATTCACCACCTCTTCGCATCCCACGCTGGCAATTTGATCAGGCAAATTGGAACCTTTACTCACACCTAACTGTTTTTAGAGAGGTTCCTTCTTCGTCCTCCATCGATGAGTTTTTACACCTCTTCTTGTCCTCTGTTTTAACCACAGCTTCTAATTGTATACCCCAAACTTCAGGCAGGCATTCTCAGAAATGCATGCCTTGGTGGTCTCCTTGTGTTCGTGCAGTACGTTTGAAACGCGCTGCATGGGGCAGGTACCGGTACAATAGAACCACAGAGAGACTTCTTGATTTTAAGCAGAAGCGTGCGATCGCTCGCCGTGTCATCCGTGACGCTAAACGCACTTGCTGGCGAAATTATGTCTCCACCATCACCTCTGCTTCCTCTATGAGTGCAGTCTGGAAAAAAGTACGAAAACTGAGTGGTAAATATTCTCCTGACCCGGCTCCTGTTCTGCGGGTTGCCGGTGTTGGTATA